ATGTGACCAACAACAACAAAATTTTATAGGAGTATTGACAATTGAGGAAACAGAACTAGAGAGAGCCACAAGGCTATTGGCACTTACGTGATCCTACAGCGGCGATTTCTTTAAATATAAGTCTTATTTCGTCAGCTATTTGGAAGGTTATGACGTGGCTGCCCGCCACACTTGTAACTTTCCAGTATGGCCAGGGTATTGGCACGATCTTGAACCTCGCCAGACTCTTCGTAGTAAGTGTCTGTGCCTCGGGCAGATGGTCATTCCCTCGAGCTGAATTCTCGACAAATGCTGAATTCCCGCTCTCGCCGTGATTAACTTGGCTTCTGTAACTTCGCTGCATTTTTAAAAGTGGCAGCTAGCCAAATGGGCGGATATATCTGCGTTACACTACTAGAACCGCACGAACTTTGCAGTATTTCGCAAAGAGAACAATTTGGGGGACAATAGAGGAAACACTGTCTCGGATTTGTCTAAAAATCTTGCCGACGAATCTTTTTGTTCCCGACAGATTTAAATTGAATTAGGAAGAAATAAACAAGTTTGTCAAATATTCTTTCGCAAAAAAATAGAAATGCTACACAGAAAAGTTAAAAATTTTTAATGTATTTGCCGTCGAATTTCTTTATCAAAATGAATTAGTAATTAATTGAATTAGGTGAAACAGAAACACACGGCTCTTTTTTAGCGCCTCGTAGAAAATGAAAATGGTCATAAAAATATACTACAAATTTTTTGTCTTGAACATACAGAAAAAATCCTTACAATAAGATAGAAACAACTCTTTGTCATCAAGAAAACACCCAAAAAAAAAAAATGTCCTGGAGTACACATTGCATAACTTCTGTAGCTAATTTGCATAATAAACTAACCATAAGAAAGCTCTCCCTCCTTGTTTTTTCTTCAGCACACCTATATCTCGAATACAACGGCGTAAACGTGATAGGATACTTATTTCCAATGTACAAACCAACCTCCCATTATTTATTATTTGATTTTAAGGTGGTTCTTGGTCCCGATATTAATAAACTGCCGGACCGTGTTTTATCGAGATAAAAACACTTAGGTGAAATGAACAACTTTATTCATCAGAACAAACTGGATTCCATTAGCGCATTTTGTCTAAAGAAAATGGATCTTGACATCTTACGTAATGCATTCAAGAAAGGATGCAACAATCGAGTTTCCACATTCTTAAAAACACTTCTTTGAATGGCTAAATGTTGTTACGGAAACTGTTTGTGACGTGTATTGTATATACACGATCGCTGCAGCCAGGAGGCTGCAGTTAATTTGCATATGGGAATTAAAACGTATTTTCCGGAATATTTGAGCCATTTCGTTAAAAAAAAAGGCCAAAATGATGATCAATAACGATTTTGATACTCTATCAGATACTTGTTCCTGCACCTTTAAGTGTTTTAGGGCTGTTAAGCTTTACAAACCGGTGTGTTAGTCGGACTGTGTTATCGTTGGTTTCGATCAAGACGGCGAATATTCCTGAAATTCACAAAGCTCTCTACAGCGCAGGATGAGGAATGCCCAAAAGTTTTATTCTATGTTTAACTTGCTGTATCTAAGTAATTTTAAGCTGCAATAGACTTGACTCTAGATCAGGTCCCACATAAGAGAATATATACACTCCTCACAAATTTCAATGCTCACGATAAGGTATTTTGAAAGTCAGCCAGGTGGAAGGCTTTTGATGTGCGTTAACTGACAGTGTTTAACCTGAAGTTTCCGAAAAGATCAGATGGGATACTTAAATTATCCCAGCATTTGTATAACACTATTGTCGTTTAGAGAAAGAGTTGTTAACATTTTTAGTTTATTGTGATCAAAGAAAGTTATAATCTAATCTATACAAGCGCACGAATATTTTCTGCATTTTGACACCTAAAAAGCAATTTTCAAGCCGATAAATTTATCTTTCTTTTTGTCAAAACAATGCTTAACACCTGGTGCTGAGAGTCTTAGCTCTAACTGGTCCGTTATAAATAAACGTTTTCCGAGTTTTGTCGGTACGGTGGCAATTTTCAGCCCCGAGATATGCATCGCTCTGTGCCTTTTCAGAAATTGTTTGGAATTCCTTGGGAAAGGTACCGCTCAGGGGCTCACAAATCGGGAACTAAAGAAACGGCAATAATATACCGTGGTTGGTATATCATAGAGGTCTAAGGTTGGTCAGGATGCTAAATGGAACTTTATATCCGGAAATGTTTGTATCCCTGTTGGCAATTTTTGCGCTGAGTAAGTAAACCGCTATGTTTCCGTTTGTTGTTTGTTTTGTCTTTGTCTTTTTTACCTTTCAACGATTCGCGAGTGAGAAAAAGTTACGCAGAATTCTATAGAATTGACTTTTCACTCTTTCAGAACTAATAAGCTGGTTATGTTATTTCTTAAAGATCGTAGCGAAATGAAACTGCAAAGAAAAGTCATCTAGTGCTTAGTTGTTCAAAGGGTGGGTGCGATAATGTGTAATTATTTTAAGAGAAATGAAATATCGCTTACACTTTGAGCTTAAGAGGTTTTAAAACTGCGGAGAATTTACCGAACGTGAACACAGACGCTTGCCTCACACTTCCTTGCTCGAAAAAAAAAAACAAGAAAAAAAAAACGAAAAGGATGAATATAAAACAATTTAAACGGCTGTGTAGAGACTATAATTTCAGGTATCTGTATAAATATGCAAATGAGGGGCGATGGTTAAAGATGACGTCATAATTTGTCCAAAAAAAATCTACGGACCCCTGCCAGAAGCTCGTTGGAAAATGTTCGGAAAGTTTCGAAAATTGCAAAAAATGTTTGACTATTATTTTACAAAAGATTCTCGGATAACCGGAAACAGTTTACCTGGTGCCTCAAGCTGTTGATCGGTCAGTTTGGATCATATAAACCAGGGCATGGAATACTACTAAATCAAAGATAACTGTTCAGGACCAGAAGCTCGACGCATAGTACTTTGCTCACTCTTTCCCTGCCCTCCAAACTGAAATCTTAACATTATCCAGATCATGAGAAGAAAGCTGAGTCTGTCCCCACCCCGTCAGGTCCAAGGCATACTATGGATTATTAATTAACTGCTCTGAATTTGTTTTGGACATAAATGTAAGAAACTGGCATACAAGTTCACGGAGAAGAAAATCAAAGATAAAACGTGCTCAATAAATGAAATATTTCTGAAATCTCCGAAACTTTCCGAACATTTTTCGACGTGTTTTTGGCAGTTACTGTAATATTTGTTTAACATTATAATTAATGTTTTAATTAATTATTGTTTTCTTCATGTTACTTTTATTGAGCGCCGTCCGTAATCCTCCGTCCTCTTATACGAAATCCCATGGTAACATAATTTTGCACTCATACTGAGCTAACGCAATTTATGCTTATAGGGCGTTAATTTTCAAAATAGATCTGTTTGATTTGTGTATTTCTTAGTGTTTGAACATTTCATAAGTCCAAGTTCTTAATTTCTGATTAAAATCAAGTGCTTTTGCTCATTATTTCGATGGCTGTTATATTTTTTGATTCCTTCGCTGAGTATTTTAATAACTTGCCACACACTCGTTTGCCACCACACAGTAAGACATTATTTTATAACTGTGCACGAAGCTTCACTGTGAGCCTGATTTTTTAAACTCGAGAAATTATCTCGTACGCACCCGAAGGATTTAGGACTTTTTCAGCCAACCTGGTGCAAGTTTGGTTGGTTTTGTTTTGCCTTTTTTCAAGTGATTCATGATTGTGTCTCCAGCTCATTGCAATTTTTTTTTCAGTGGCGTCCTCAACAGGTAAAAAGCATTCCTTGTCATGCTCTCTTAAGGTTCAGGTTCATCCTCAACGGACTGAAAGCTCCTATCAATGTCCTTGTCATCCGGATAACAACTACCATAATTGCTCGCCCTGTGACAATGACGAAAAGTGGAATTTAAGATGTACAAAATCCACAGTATGTTTACCTGAGAACGATACGTGCTACATATGTGATCTGGAAAGCACGAAAAACACCTTTTGTTACGTTTCACAAATAAATAAAGGTCAACCACCTCCCAAATGTTTCTGCGAGAAGACAAGTTGTCTACCGAACTCCAAAAGCAAGAAACCTGGTAGGTATTACAGAAAAAGACAACAACAACCTTAAACAGTCAACAAATTTTGATTTCTGCAAGTTTCTTAGTTATTGACTCAAAATATGATTGCATTAAATTCTGTGAGTCTTCAACCAAAGAATAATTAACATTCTCGGAAACTAAAACCCAATCCCGTGCCTTTGTTAGGGCCTCAGGCAGGTTCTTAATCACGAAAAAGCACTTCGAGAGCAAGAAGCGCGTGAGAAAGTGAAGAAGGGTTTTTGTATTAAAAGAAAAAAATTAAAGCAAATGTAGCCTAGAAACAGCATGTTTATTGAACCGAGCTAAAACCTTATAGTGGCTAAAAATTGTTTAATACGTATTACGCTTAAGATAACGTTTCTCACGAAAAGAAAGTGAATTGGTAAAGAAATATTAAATTAAAATTTTTAATTATCTGGTTTTGCAAAAAAAAAAAAATAATAACAATTAGCTACAGAAACTTAATTACAGTCTGAAATTCTCCGTGACCCAGGATTCAAATAGCTAGGAAATCGATCTATTATTATAGAATAATAAATATTCAAATTCCCTTCCATCGTCATTAATAGTATCATCGGCCGCAATGTTAGCGTCATCATCGATACCACCAACATCTTCAAAAATTTCTTCAGGAAGATCTTTATTATCAATACCATCCTCATCAGTTCTATCATCAACAGTATCATCATCTCTAGTGTCTTCGGGAGCAGCTGTAGAACCAACACCAACATCATCACCATCACCAACGTCAGCATTTTCTTCAGCACCATTTTTAGCATCATCGCCATCGCCATCACAAAAGCTGGTAATTTTTTTCTTATCTTTCTATCGTAATGTAATTTTTTTCTCGTTTTCCAAACCTTTTTATGGTTTACATGTCTCACTGCCATTTCTTATTCTCAGGCAAATGATGCTGTTTCAGAGCTCAGTAGCCTAAATATCACCAGCAACAATTCCTTACAGGTATGTGGTTTCACCAATGATTTAAAAACGTCATCTTTTTAATCTAAAAGTGTAGCGAAAGAGCAGCTACAAGCATCGAATCGATTTGAAGGTGGTATAAAATATAATACGTAAGCGCAAAAAATTTCCACGCAAAGATTAGATATCTTCTACCATTAGTTGTAGAGTGATTAGTACTCGAAAAGTCTTTTTTAAGTGACCTTTTCCTTCCCTTATCTTATTGAAAAAAGCCTTACTCTCAGAGGAACAATTGAAAACATATCTTTTATGATATATCAGAAAGACATATATATCGATTTGCCCAAAACGAGAAAATCCTCTGCGGTATCATTTTTGCGATAATTGTTGCTTTTGAACCGAAAGCGCCTCTTGATGCCGCATTTGCCAATTATCACAATGAATTGATTTACATCTCATTGTGATGAATCTTAGAAAAGGTAAAATAACTAAATAATGTGTACTTCATGGACTTACAGGAAGCTGCAAATGTGTTTGGAAACTTCACCACTAAATATCAAAAAGCGACCCCCGGAGAAGAACAGTCTGGAGTAGATGAGCTCAGAACGGAGTCCATTTTTAAGGTGGCAGTCGCCTTCGAGAAAGTTGTTCTTAGCTATGGCAAACACCATCTAAGTGGAACAAAGAGTTCAAAAAGGATCGTTCGCGACAACATAAGTGAGTATTTGCATGGCTGTCTCTTCAGATTTGTGATAACTGATGATCTATTCAGTAGCTGTCTGACTAATCAAGAGAGTGAGTGACTGAGTAAGTGACTAGTCGACTTACTGACTGACTGGCTGACAGTGACTGACTGTCTCTCTGCAGCTCTGGGAGATTGAATGACTAACTGATTTCACGACGGAAAAAAAGTCTGAATGAGTTTTGTTGGTTGATTTCATGAATCTGACCGTCACTTATATTAACATTAATTTTTTTTCCTTTCTTTCGAAAGTCCTTGTTATTCAAAAAGTTTATGGACAAAATGCAAGTAACTTCTATCTGAAGAAACACGAATGGCGAGCATCTATCAATATTTCCTCAGGGAATTTTGCCGACAATGGTTTGTATACATTGCCATTATATTTTAACATTCAATACCCGTCAATTCTTTGACTCATCAGTGTCTTATTGAATAATCGTCAAAGTTAATTTGATTAACTCGTATCTGTATAGCATCTTCAAGAGAAACTTACATTAGCCCACATTTAACCTACCTGGAATTTTGTTCTGCTCTCTTTTAGGATCAGTAATAGTTGGGTGTGTGTACAAGGATCTACATGATTTAATCCAAAAAGGTCATGATAAAACAAGGTACGCGAATGGTTTGGATATCTGACATTAGCTGCAAGTAAGAAGATAGTTTTTATGCGCTATAGACATAGTTTCGAAGAATAATTTTTTTAAAATATTTATTTTTCAATTGTGCACACCTCCGTCCATGTTCATAAAAGCCCCATAGATGGAAAATTGAAATAGTAGAAACGTGAAACGATTTTTTTCTGTCGCGCTGAAATGAACAAACGACGAGATAATGAAAACTGTTAGTCTCCTTGCTTAATTACCTAAATGTCAGACTCGGAGGTACGTTTCGTTAAAAGAACCATTATGGACGTGATGATCTAATCAGAGTCAGGCTCCCAGTCTGAGCTTTCCCAAATTTAGCCGGTGTATGCATCCTAAAAATTAATGCATTAATTTAATTAATGCATTTAATGCATTAATTTAATGCATCCTAAAAATTAACTTTTATGGTCACATTGGTAAATTAAAGCTGCTAGCCGGTCATTACCCACGCAGTAAACCAAAAACATGACCGTTGTTTATTTCCATTTTAATTGATATACTTGCATTGGCGTGCGTTGATGTGCTTTTCACTGAAGTGAAGCGTGTGAGATAAATTCTTAAGAGGGCAAAACAAGGACCGTAATTAAGAGACTAAAAACACTGACGAGTAATTTTATAACTCGACTCACTCTTGACATCGTTGATTCATATTATGGGACAGAATTTTGTATGTTTACAATTTTTTTGCGAGCGAGAGAGTAAGATTACTCTTCTCAAATTAATTAAAGGGGAGCAGAATTTTTTTCATAGTTTTTGGTCGATTTTGTTCAAACCGGCATCTCTTTCATAATCAGCAAACAGGTGTCCGGCAATCGAATGATCGATTGACAAAACTTTATTGTGAGTTCGAATTGAATTGAGTTTAAGGCACGTGATTGAGCGCGTGACTAAGCGTATGACTACCATTCGTTGGAAGTTTCGTAGCACTCTCGGGAGTAAAGAGTCAGTCGAAAATAACATTATTTCTCACTTTTGGTTTTGTTTACCCTTCCCCGAAAAACAATCAGCAAACAGGTGCTCGGCAATCCAACGATCGATTGACAAAACTTTATTACGAGTTCGATTATGTTCGACTGAGTTTGGCAATCGAACTATTCCTTTTCGAATTGGTCGGATTTCCGAACGTTCGATTAGATATCTCTTATATTTTGCTCCATTGTAGTACTTCAGAAGACGCAATGTGCTAACAGATGTTTCTCAAAGATATTCGAGACAATATTCTTACCATGTCTTTCACTACGCTTTCAAGTTCAATGAAAACTTCCCTTTCCGAATTTTCTTTTTCATCCTGAACTCTTCGAGGTTCTTTTTTTTTTTATTATTATTATTATTATTGTTGTTTTCGATTCATTGCTGTTGAAAAAGCCTATTTCTTTACTGCGTTAATTTAATTGAATTCATTTTAAGGGATGTAACTGGCTGCCATTCGTTTGAGTTCCTTAACGCTATCGGAAACAAAGAGTCGATAATAATATCATTTCGCACTTTTGGTTTTGTTTACCCTCCCCCTTAAAATCGCCTTGGCCATCCCATGCAGCACATTTTCACAAGAACTTTTTGGCCATTCATGGCTCTATGTTATGGTGATTTATGAATATCTTGGACATGTTGAGTTGTTTGTGCTTCTCCATATGAACCAAGTAATTGAAGTGTCTGCTTCAAATACTTAAAACTTGTTCGTGGCCAAATGTTTCATGCAACTTTGTTTTTGTGATCAGGAGGAAGTTGATTATTATAAAACATCGCTACGAGCTTCGGTTTTTAAAATTGACCCCGTAGTATTACTGCAATAATGAGAGTACATTGACTGTGCAATTATTACTCCAGCTTTACGTTAGTTAACATGCGTGCTGCACAATAGGTTACACGGTAGCGTGCTGTGTCCGGTCACACGCTAGCTTTTGTATTCGATGGTTGACACGCCTTGCGTGTTTGCCTACTCACGCTACATTGCTCAATGGCGCACGCTCGATTGTTTGTAGTTTGTTATATGAAAGAATAGCATGCCTAAGCTCATTAAAGAGTGCTCTAGCGTGCTAAGCAAGCGTGTTATAGCCAGTTTCTTTTGTTTTCAAGTGGAATCGTGTTGAGAGCGTGCTATCATATTTGTCCCTTAAATCATATGGAGGGTCACATATGCAGTAATTTGTTTACTCGTTTAGGCATGTGGTAACTAGAATTATGATGGCTGCTATGGATCCCAAACCAGAAAAGTTACAAGAACATGTAACCTTGAAGTTCAGGAACCTGAAGGTAATAACAAAAGCAAAATTAAATTCGTTCGGTTCAGTTTAGATCAGTTTCAGTTTCAATAAGTTCAGGCTCAGTTGATGTATCATTTCAAATGATTTAACTTGAATCTTCTTTCAGAATGACCCAAGTGAGAAGCATTGCATGTTCTGGAGTGGCCTCAACAATAGGTAAAACGGGAAAACAACTGACATCACCATGACACAAAATAAACCATTGTTCCATCCTTTTTTCTGAATTGATTGAATTTCGAATTGCAAAGAAGAATTAACATCATCGATCACAAGTTCGCGTAACGGTCTAACTGGTGGGAGTGGTCTTGAAAGGAAGTGCGATCTGTGGTTGTTGATAATAAAGAACGTTTCCTCAACAGGAGCAGAAGTCTTATCGTTAAGTTTTTACGAGATACTAATGAAGGAACTGTACTTTGAGAGTTTACCTCGATTTCCTACACCGGTTATCACCCCAACTTACTCTTGTTTCGGAGTGATGAACTGAAAATCCATCAAAGCCAAAAGGCAAATTTGACATTAAAAAGGCACAAATAACCAACAAATAACTTACCAACTCTGAATCCAGTCTTCAGCCAGGTTAAGTGAACAATCCCAGTAAGTAGAATGAAAGCCATTTAATATTTCATCATATTAATTGCCTATTACGAGTATTTAATGGTTTAATTATCTCGTTATATTTTTCAGTCAAGATGGATTTTCGAAAGATGGATGTCATATAGTTACATCCCAAAGCAACTCAGAAGAAACAGTCTGCAGCTGCAATCATTTGACTCATTTTGCTGTCTTAGTTGACTACAGAAATGACAGTGTGGTATTACGTTTTTCAATATTTTTTTAAGTATTGCTCGTATGTTCATTAAATTGATAAAGATGTTATTCCCTCTGTTTCTGATTGTTACACAGCTGTCTCAGAAGGACGAAGATATCCTGGAGATTATCACCTACCTAGGATTAAGCCTTTCCATCATCGGAATGATTCTAACTATAATCATGTATTCCTTGTTCGCGTGAGTAATCAATGTCAAGTTTCTTATGCCTTTGATTGGTTGAAACTATCAGAGAAATTTTTAGAAATCACCATGGTATATTTTTTCTTAAACTAGAGATGTTCATGAACCTCTCACTCAAATACGACTGAGTCTCGCCGCATCGCTGGGTGCTGGTCAAATAAGCTTTTTCGCTGGAATGCACGCCATGGATAACCCAGTAAGTGCTTTCTACTCACATTCACATTAATTAATCTTTTTACTGGCCTCACCATCAACATTATCAGGACCTTTTTAAAAATATTTTGGTATCTATTGCGAATTTGAAATTTATTAAATGAAATTATTTTAAATTTTTAAAATTTATGAATCAGGAGAAAATAAAAGAACAGGAAAATCGTTTTTTCCTTTTTTTGCAGGCCATTTGCATCACAGCAGCAGTTCTTACTCAGTATTTCCTGATGGCTGCTTTCTGCTGGATGCTAGTGGAAGGAATCTACTTTTACTTATTAATTGTGAAAGTTTACAACATCAGCAATAGGTTGATAGTGTATCACGTCATGTCATGGGGTATTCTCCTTTTATCTAGAATGACTTTTCTCATTTTTAATGCCGATTTACCGTATTTTGAATCGGTTTATTCCTGATATGATTTCCCGCGAACTTTGACCTCCCCCTTCTCTTTGTGTGTGAAGGTTTCCCCGTCATTATAGTCATCACTTCTCTCAGCATCGCAATTGGAAAAGGAGGGATTCAAAGCTACACCAGCAATAAATAGTAAGAAACAAAGTTTTCGTGAACTTTACCTCCTGTTTAGCTTCCTCTTCATGTTTTGGTTTATCTCTGATTTGGGTTTCCTTTTTTTTTTTTTTAATTTTAAATCACGTATATTTGTTTTTCGTTTTGCTGAAACCTGTATTTTTGCTTTTTGCGAACTTGTTCATTTCCTCTTTCGCTCTTTCTCTTGTACTCCTTTTCAGCCTTCAAATACCATATCTTATATCACTTTAATTCTCTTTTTCTTTTCTCCTTAGGCAGCATAGCGCATTACTTGGGCACATATTTTTTTTTTTGTTCTTCCCTTTTGTTTTATTCCATCGTCATTTTAGTTGTTCTCAATTATGAGCTGTGATTTGATTTTCATTTGATTTAATTTGAGATTTTTTGCCAGTTTCTCGTTCCCTTAGCTTTGTCTTTCCTCTTTTCTTCTTTTTCAGTTGTTGGTTGTCGTCAACTTATGACTTGATCTGGATATTTGTCGCATTTCTGACGGCAACTGGAGTTGTAAGCTTAAACTCAGATTTTGCAATCCAATATCAAAACTGTAACTTTATCATAAGATACTTGACCTATAGCACATGCACGGTGCTTCATTGTCGTTTTTTTTCCATTATTTTATTCATATTTATTTTTCATTTTATTTTTTAATTTTTGCTTTGACTTTTTTAGCTCGGCAGTTTTATACTCGCACGTGTCACAAGGGAGTTGATCAAATTGCAGCAAACAGGCGCCGACAAGATTCAACGAGTCCGGTTAGATGGAGCGTTATATCGTTTCTTTTTTCGGTTAATTTTATCAAAAAGATTTTAATCGGGCAACTGTCCACCTCAGTAGCTGTTAACTTATCCTGCAGACATCTTTTCTTTACTTGATGAAAACTGGCATATAGATATACGAGACATTAAATGGCAAGCGAGGTGTGGTTTGAGGGTTGATATTAGCCACGGGAGAATCTAAGCTTCTAAGTTGAAGAAGGAGAGTTTAGTAAACTCACTATTTATTTTCCGATCGAGTCTTATTTTCCATTCTCCTGCCATGTTTGATAATAATGAGCAAGCCAAAAATTAAAGTGGAAAAGTGAGAAATCTAAAAACGGGCACCATGTTAAATGGGTCATGGCAATATTTGCAGCGACATTTGCATATGTATCCCATAATTTTAACATCATCTTGTAAAAGCCCTGACAGGCTATCTATGTACCAGGTTAAAACTTTCCAAAAAAGCGTAAAATAAGGGTTCGGGGTTCCAAATAACCCCCCCCCCCCCCCCCCGCCATCTCGTACCAAAATTGGGGTAAGGATGTGCCTGCTGTACGTCCGAGCGTCCGAGGGTACTATTTGCATGATTTTACATTTACTTATGACGATAACAGCTAAAGTGAGTTGAAAGCTGGAAATAATTAACATTTGTCCTGTTGTAGACTTGGCATCAGAACATGTGTTCTAATGATTCCCCTTCTTGGCATCACGTGGTTGTTTGGTCTTCTCTCGCCTCTACACAAGGCTTTCACCTACATCTTCACCATTCTCAACTCTACTCAGGTTTGCTGTAAATTTCCTTGGTAAAATTAAGATAGCCATGCTGATAAAAGTTAGAGCTTGAAGCCTCTAAACAAATTGAAAAAAATCCTTCTATCAGTCAATCAATGTGGTAATGAGACCGTCAGTCTTTAGTCAGTCCTTCCTCCTATCCATCTATCAGTCATTCCTTCAGTTTTTTGATCATTTTGATAGCCGTTTAGCCAATGAATAATTTCATCGGTCAGTCAATCCCTCAACCGTCTGTTTTTCTCCCTTCATAAACTTACAAGTTAAGTTCAGCTGAGTTAATAACTACCCTGTTTCGCAAAGATCTCTTTACTTGTCATGATATTATATTTCAAACAAAAAAAAGACTTATTATCCGTAATTATATTTGTATTGTAGGGTGTCCTGATTTTCATCCTGCACTGTATGAGAAACAGTCAGGTAAGATCGAAACTAAAAAAAATTATCTTAACATTGTGCAAATCATGACAGAATGTGGGCTACTTGAATAACCAGATTTTAGAACTCAGCAACTGATTCATGTTACCTTATGTTTATTAACAGATAAGGGAGCGATTGCGAGGCAAAATTAAAATATTGAAGATTGGTCAGATTAGAGCTCGAATGAAAGTTCGAATGAACGCTGTTTCCCCATCTCCAAACAACAGAAACTCAACCAAAAAGAATGTAAAGATGAATCCAACTGGTGGTGGTGCAGTGTGGGCAACTAAATTGCACCCATTCAGCGAATGGGTTGATGAGTTGAAATAGGAATATCATTAACTAATGGATTCAATAGGCGGCGGGTAAAAGCCGATTGTTATGTTCCAAGGTTTTTTTAGCCACGATAATTCTCCAGTCGCAACTGATCAGTTTCCAATGTCCTTCTGCTTGGTTGGATTGTTTTTGTAAATTAGAAAAAAAAGTTAATAAGTCTTTCACGAAGAGATAGAGGCTGGTGAAGTTTATTTATCAGAGTAATTAAGTGATCTGGCCTATCGCAGTCTTAAACTGAGGTAACTTAGAGGATTAGGTCTGATTGAATAGAATAGTTAACCACCCGGCAATTCAACATCGTTTATTCAGGTAAATATGTGAGAGCTAGATACTTTACTTGTATATGAATCGTAGCCAGATGCTAGATTACCTACATTTTAGGATAGACTTGTAAACATTATTATACAGAGCAAGACTCCGCCACGCTTTGAAAATCTTTAGGTTATTGTTATCGCTAGACAGGAAAATAAAATGCTATTAAAAAGAGAAAAAATTGACGGTTGTCTGTAACAAGAGTTTACCCAGATGCATTTATGCGAGATAAAACTATTCCTGGCTCCCACTCCTTGACATCGAAAAAGTTATTGCATGGCTAAAGTTATGTTGAGAAGAACGGTGCAAGGAGGGTACAAAATAATGGGGGCTGTTTCGTCTAAGAAACCATGTGACCGGGGTGGGCAGAACTCCACAGTTCAGGCGTTGCCAAAAAACGTTTGCTTATAAGATAAGGCGGCGTGAACGAAGGAAAAAGCCCCCTTTTGTATGCATTCCAGATCATCTATTGCTTATTGAGGCGGCAGGGCTTGAAAAATCGGAACAGCATCGTCATTAGTACGTCTTATCCAGCTGGTGTTAAAGCTTACTAGGTGGGCCTTAAGAGATTGGTGCATACTATTTAACCGGGCAAATACAGTGGAGTAGAACCTTTCTTTACCACCATCCAAGAAAGGTGGCTGGTAAAAATGTCTCCGAGTAACTTAGGGTAACCCACGGCTAATGGTATTCTCCAATCACGAGGTGTGGTTTAAATGGTTCTTAGCGAAGTATATTTGTATTAATGATCCTTCAAATATCTCTGCTCGCGTGACCGAATATCCCCCAGCTAAAATTGGGTGATATTCAAGAATATTATCTAAGCGATATTCCCCAATTTTTAAAGTCTAAGTCCACTGCGATAAGTTTTCGTTTCAAAATTAAATCAAGATGAGAGAGGGTTTCTGGTTGTTGTAGAAGAAGGGAAAAATGTTTTTGTTCATCAAGTCGTACCTGAGGATACCCAAAAGAAAACAAAAGAAAACATCCCGAAGCAAGCAAGGAAATATGTACGGATACCGGGATCTGTTCGATGACATTATCTGTTCCAAGCTGGAAACAATTTTCGTTAGCAAAGCTCCAGGAAAACTGTTAGCCGAATAACCAAATTAATAAGAGGTTTTAGTTTATATATAGAGATATACCTTTGTCAAGGCAAAGTTGGAAATTTTCCCTCTAAAATCAGTTCCTTTCGGAATAACATCCGTTACCGTTGTATTTTGGACATATTTCCATGAGAGAACATCAGGAGGAGCTAAATCGGTAACATAAGCTGGAGCCCGAATTTGGTGCTCTGAGGAAAGCACGGACGGGAAAGGCCCCATGATAGAAAGCCAGTTTAACTCTGTGGAAAAAGTCAAATAGAGCATCTGCTATACAGTTGATAATACAAACTGGCGATTCTAAGGGTCTTAACTTACGAAATAATATGGTTTGGTTCGCATAACAAACCAAAATCAGTTCTTAAGTAGAGTTCATGGAAATCCACTACATTTTATAACTGCCTGTAGAGGTTTTATTAATCAGGTCGAAACAAGAGGGAAGCAGCCACAAGTAAACAACTTTTATCGTTGAAATAGCTTTTCATTAAGTAGTCTTTGCCATAACCAGTTCGAATTGAAGCAATATGGATCAAAATTTGTTGCAGTGGCTATGACAGTGAGACAGATGGTGACAGTTACAGTGCCGTAATGCTACTAATAATAATTTATTTATATAGCGCTATTTCTATCGCTATCCAATAATGCTTTATAATGACTGTAATGATCTAAAGTGCTTGAAAAACCCAACTGGCAGGAGGCAGATCAGTTAGCCATTTACACAGCGCACCCGATTTTGAATGTTCTAATAAGGTAACACCAGTGTAAAGTGAATTTTTTTTCCTTTCGAGTCTATATCTGGAAATTGTTTAGAGTTAACAAAAGAAGTAGTGATATGTTTTTTTTTTCTAAACGCAGTTGAATGCTAATGTCAATGCACAACATATTTTGGTACACACTTTAGGTGATAGATCATTTACGGCATCTGCTCCTAAACGTTGGAACAGATTGCCATCAAATATAAGAGCAGTAAATGATCTTAATTGTTTTAAAACACTTCTTAAAACACATCTCTTTAGACAGGAATTTCATGTTTGCTTTTATAGCTCGTTTTCATACTTTTTTTTCTTAGTTAGTCAAATTGTATATTCTTAGCCTTTTATAGTTCGTTTTCATATTTTATTTTGTTTAGTCTTATTGTATAGCGCATTAGATCATATCCATATGTATTTTGCGCTAGATAAGTAATAAATTATTATTATCAAATTATGGGGCCGAACAAATAGCTTAAACCTCGCGAACTGTTATCGGAAATGATGTAGTTTTTACTAGAAATTAGAAAAACTGTAAATATTAAAATGTTCCACTCATTTCTAGTGACTTGGATTGGAATGCTTTAGACGATGACTTCACTGAAAACATACCAGAGGTTGACGAAAGTGTTAGCCCGGATACTTATGCACAAGACCCCAGACTTCCACGTCTTCAAGGCGTTAGGAAAAGTCGCTGCCGCCGAAGTAGTTCACGCCTTCGTCATGGTTAGAAGCGAAGCTTAAGCATTTCAATCGGTATTTAACCAGAAAGCTAGTATAACTATGTGAAAATAGTATCCGCTGCTACCTCCGCACAGTAATTTGTCGAGATGACTACGTTTAAAAACTCTAATAATCTGAGGAAATTGTCTTTAGTTATGTTTTGTGTGGATTTGGTTACCGAATCAAATGGCAGGTTCAAAATAACTTCACAGGAGAAGTAACTGAACAAAATTTTGAATGTCTGACGAAATAGAGGAAGTCAGGATGTTTTTCGAGCGCGGTTCATGCGCGATTCATGCTAATGCATCATCGGCCCAGCAATTTGATGATTCTTGCATCATTATTCGACATACTTTCCCAAGTGAGAGAAAGACTAAATTTGATTTAGGAGAATCGTTCACTTGAAAAATTCTCGCCAGCATTGCTAAGCTTTCAATTGCAGATTTGAAAGATTTTCTTACAACTTCATGCTGTTCTACAACAAAGCCTTGGCTTCAAATGTAATCTGTTGTTTTCGCTCTGTTTTCTCTTAAAGAAAAATGTGCATAATGAAGTATTGTCTTATTTGGTAATCTAGCCACACTTTGTTCATTCGCAAGGTCGAAGCAGGACGAAAGATCTCTCACTGGAAGAAACTAAATTAACAGCCGAAACCTATATTTGGGGTTATGGGGAAAAACGATAGCTAGCGACTCTATGCTAGTGCACGAAACGTTCGTAATTTTTATGTCAGTTGTTATATATTCATGCTGACATTCACTTTCTTCTCATCACACTTCAGGTAATAGATCTACCAAAATATTACAGCCAGGATAGACATAAATTCAACCAATCCGGGTCGTAGACAGTTTTGTCTATGCCATGAGGTCATGAAACATGACGTCACGAAATTTATGTGTAATTTGTTTCGAAAAAAAGACAAATATTACCGTGAAACTCCTCATATGTTCTTCTCATTTATGAAAATAGAAGTAGAGTGAAAGTTTGTTTAGTCTGCGTGCACGGCCGTGGTTGTTTTGACAAGTTGTCTTGTGTCGTTATGGCGTCATGGCTTCTGCCAACTATCGATTTCTCAGTACTCCGAAAGGTCCTTTTGTTTTTCGTTTAAGCCCATGGATGATCTTATCTCCTTCTTGAGAACAGCCTATCGACTTAATGATAAAGGACTGTCGATTAAGACGGTCTGACAAAAGCTTATTCAAAACTGAGCTTTTTTCGGTTTAATTTAAAATAATATCGACCAAGACTCTGAGGAAATTAATCCTAGAAAAGTGCATATTTTTTTGCGGATATTTCATCCTGAACAAGACTATCCTTGTGTGAAAAAGCCGGAGGCCACCCTTCAAATCAAGCAAACAAACAACCGGCGGCTAAAGCTGGTCGAAGTGTGCTCCATGAAATTCTTACTAGTTTTGATACGAGACATTTCTTTTAACATTGATGTGGAAATTTTACTTGAGATTGCAGTAAATGTTATTTGATCGGTCACTACCTTCCAAGAGGTGTCTTTTAGACATCTCACCGCAATGGGATACAATTTAATAACAAAACACTGCGAGCAAAATATGTATTCTTGCAATACATAGCGGGGAGCGAGAATAGAGATGACATGTCTGTCGAAAATGAGATATAGCACAGTAAAACAGAAATTAATAACGGAAATAAAGTAAATGATGTCTCTGTAGCGGGAAAGAGCATATGTCGGCGACTGTTACGTTACGAGGACTGCTATAGAAACTAAAAAAAATCCCTGACTAAGACTGGATAGGATGCTAAGTGGACGTTTTACCCGGAAAATTTTTATTGCCTCGTTATTATATTTTATGCTGGGTAAGTATAGTCTAATTCTCTCAAATTTTAAGTGTTTCCATAAAAAAGGAAAGGTAGATGAAACCCGCCGATATAACTTTCGACTTTTTCAGGTTTTTTTCTCTTCTTTCTTTTTTTTTTTATTTTTTATTTTTTATTTTTTTATTTTTAGCCCTGTCTTGTTACCCAAAGCCAAATATAACAGAAAAGGAAATATATCCAGATGGCTATTGATCAGCGCTCTGACAATAAATTAGACTGACACGTTACTTTGTTCTATAATCTCTAAAAACGTGCT